GAAAACAAAGTTACATGAACATTTGAAAATCAGCCAGTTATGACCCAACGTATGAAAAAATAAAGGGAAAAAGTGTATACTATATATATATTGAAAAAAAAAAATATATATATATATATATATATATATATATATATATATATATATTAGTTTAAAAAACAACTTAGCCAGGCGGTGGTGGCGCACGCCTTTAATCCCAGCACTCGGGAGGCAGAGGCAGGCAGATCTCTGTGAGTTTTGAGGCCAGCCTGGGCTACCAAGTGAGTTCCAGGAAAGGCGCAAAGCTACACAGAGAAACCCTGTCTTGAAAAACCAAAAAAAAAAAAAACTTATGTATATGTACCACATTTTTCTTTATCCATTCTTCAGTTGAAGGGCATCTAGGTTGTTTCCAGGTTTTGGCTATTACAAACAATGCTGATATGAACATAGCTGAGCAAGTGCTCTTGTGGTATGATTGAGCATTTCTGGGGTATATGCCCAAGAGTGGTATAGCTGGATCTTGGGGGAAATTGATTCCCAATTTTCTAAAAAAGCGCCATATTGATTTCCAAAGTGGTTGTACAAGCTTGCATTCCCACCAGCAGTGGAAGAGAGTTCCTCTAGCTCCACATCCTCTCTAGCATAAGGTGTCTTCAGTGTTTTTAATCTTAGCCATTCTGACAGGCGTTAAGGTGTTGTTTTGATTTGCATTTCCCTGATAATTAGGGATGTTGAACAATTCCTTAAATGTCTTTCATCCATTTGAGTTTTCTCTGTTGAGAAGGCCCTGAGTGGAGCTCCGGGAGTCCATTTAGCGAGAAAGAGGAGGGTTTATAGGAGCGAGAATTGTTGAGACCAAAATTGGATAAAGCATAGGGACAAACAGCCAAAGAATGGAAACACATGAACTATGAACCAATGGCTGAGGGGCCTCCAACTGGATCAGGCCCTCTGAATAGGTGAGACAGTTGATTGGCTTGATCTGTTTGGGAGGCATCCAAGCAGTGGAACTGGGTCCTGTGCTCATTGCATGAGTTGGCTGTTTGGAACCTGGGGCTTATACAGGGACACTTGGCTCAGTCTGGGAGGAGGGGACTGGACCTGCCTGGACTGAGTCTACCAGGTTGATCTCAATCCTCGGGAGAGGCTTTGCCCTGGAGGAGGTGGGAATGGGTGGGTGGGTGGGGGGAGAACAAGGGAATCCGTGGCTGATATGTAGAACTAAATTATATTGTAAAATAAAATTAAATTAAGTAAAAAAAAAAACAACTTATGATTTTTAAAAAGAAACTTAAGACTCTTTGAAACAGAGGACTTTTTCAATCTGACATAAGCTGTCTTCTGTGGATGAATATCCAGTGCTCTTGGTATCACTTGTTGAAGAGAATGTCTTTTCTCCAGTGTGTATTTTTTGCCATCTTTGTAGTACTGTGCATCTGTAGTTGTGTGCATTTGTGTTTTGCGTTCTGTTTTGTTCCACTGATCTGTGCTGGTGCCGTGCTGTTTGTATTACTACAGCTCTGTGATAAATCTAGAAATCTGGAATGGTGATACTTCCAGTATTGTCCTTTTTGCTCAGAATTGCTTTGGTCATCTTTGGTCTTTTGTAGTTCCATATAAATGTTAGGATTTGTTTTTCTATTACTGTGAAGAATGTTGTGTGTATTTTACCAGTTGGCTGTCGTGGAGGCCCACAAAGGTTTCCTAGTGAGATCTGAGCTTGTTTTACCCAGCAGGGCTGAATTAGAGGATTGCTTGACCACATGTGTGGTTACCAGGTGATTGGAAGGGTCTTCACTTGGCTGTGCTAGGGGGAGGTCTTTTGCTCCACCCCTTGGCATGTCTTTAAAAACCCTTTAGAGGAGACAGAAGGGACTGGTGGATAATGATCCATGCCCTCCCAAGGCTATCCTGTGTTTTTATCTGTTTCTCTTCCTACTATCCTTCTATCTGATATCTCTTATCCATTATTCCTCAAGAGTATCCTGTCATAAAATATGGGAGCCAGTCTCCCAGCTGGGCTCCCACAGGTTATATAATAACAAATGGTCAGCCTTGGAAATATACATATACATATACATATACATATACATATACAAGAATACTATATGGACTAAACAGGTTGTAGTGTGTGTGTGTGTGTGTGTGTGTGTGTGTGTGTGTGTGTGTGTGTATAACAACAAAAACAATTTAAGAAAAAGAGGCCATGAATTTGAAAGATAAAAGGGGCATGATGTCTGGTGATATAAAATTTAGACTCACAAGTGTAGGATAGATAGAATACTTTCTTTAATTTTACAAAATACTGCCCCGGCCAGCAGGGCTTCAATGGGTTCTCGACCACCCTAAGGACAGAATGATAGGGACAGGAGACACAAAGGAAATACACCAAGTCAAGATTCTGATCAAGGTGCAAATTTATTTTTCTCCAGGAGCGTTTATATAGTTCCTGCAGGGTAGGGGGAGCAGGAAGCTGTTATCTGCATAGGGTGGGGCAAGCTAACAGGATGTTTATGTAGGATGTTTACAGGGTGAAAGGGTCAAGGGCTCTGACTCAATGTCCTGTTGCTAGGCAACTTGACTGTAAGATGATCTAGTTCCCTGTCTTATCCGGGGTCTGTATTTTTCCACTAACTAGAGATTCTGTCCTTGTCCCTGACAAAATACAGATAGACTAGATATTATAACTGTAATTCTTGCTTGATAACTATTTTGTTACATGTAATTTTAATAGGTTAAATTAAAACTTTCCTTTCTAAAAAAAAAAGCAGGGGGCGGGGGGAAGTGCTATGGATTATATCACTCTGTATGCTGTGAATGTGTTGCTCTAATTGGTTGATAAATAAAATACTGATTGGCCAGTAGCTAGGCAGGAAGTATAGTTAAGGTAAGCAAACAAGGAGAATTGTGGGAAGGCTGGAAGGCTGAGTCAGGAGACACCAGACCACTGTCCAGGGAGTAGCATGTAATGGCACAGAGGTAAAGCCATGAAACAAGTGGCAACATATAGATTAACAGAAATGGGCTGAGTTTAAGTGTAAGAGCTAGTCAGTGGTAGGCCTGAGCTAATGGCTGAGCAGTTTTAATTAATATAAGCCTCGGAGTGTTTACTTGGGTCTGAGCAGCTGTGGACCAGGTGGGACACAGGAAAACTTCTAGCTACAGAGGCACATGGAAGGTTTTGGAGGGAAGAAAGGGAAGGAGGTTATGTAATTTTAGTACAATCTTATTTTCTAGTGTCTTCCTCCATTTCATTATCTTCAGAGATTTAAAGTTTATTTCGAAGAGTTCTTTTATAAACTTAGTTGGCTTTATTCATAGATCTTTACACTTTTAGATGCTACTGTGAGTGTATTTCCATAATCTCATTCTCAGTGCATGTTACTGGTATATAGGTATACTGATTTTTGTAACTTGATTTTGTGTCCTGCCAGTGCTGAAATTTTGATTGATTGTAGAAATTTTCTGATGGGATTTTTGGAACCCATTATGTATAGTATCATATCATCTGAAAACAGATAATTTTGCTCCTCTTCCTATTTAATTCCCTTTCATTTCCTTCTAATTTCTTATTATTGTAGTTAATTCTTCAAGTACTGTATTTAATAGCAGGTGTCTTGTTCCTGATTTAAATAGAATTTCTTTGAGTCTGAAAACTGTTTTTCAAAGTAATAAATTGATAAAGGCACTAGCAAATGGGAAAATACACAATAAACATGGATCAGGAAGCTGAATGACAGATAGATGAGTTTGCCCCCAAATCACTCCATTAGAAGCAATAGGGTATCAGTATTCTGGAAAATCTGAAATGTGGAATAGAAGTAGGAAGTAATTGTAGAACTTTAAATATCAAGCCCAAACACTTTTCAAAAAGCTCCCCTGAAGGCCAATGAAATCTCAACTTTTGTCACAGACATTAATTTGGACACATCATGTGCTGAAGCTGATTCCTTTGCAGATTCTGTGAAGGAGAACTTTAAATGATTGTGTATTGTTTGATACTTTCACGTATGAATACAATGTATTTAGCTAATTTATATCTTCTGCTCCCCTCCAGCTCCTCCTAGACCCTCCTCCCAACATTTCCCTCCCAGCTTCACATCTTCTGCTTTTTTACCCCCGCCCCAGCCCAGTTAGTACTGTCCATATGCTCATGGGTACTAGGTGTCATCCACTGGAACATGAACAACTGACCCTGGGCCACACTGATGAAGAAAACTAACTCTCCCTCCCCCAGTGACCATCACTTAGGGGTGGGGCTTCATGAGCTATTGACAGCTTGACCTTGTGCTTCATAAGACACTAACTGTAAGTTAATATAGGACCATTCTCCTTCTCTGTTGCTTCCTCTGGTGACTATTGAAGTTCATGTTGTTCATTTCATCTTTGATTTTTTATTCTGTCATTCTTAACTGCCTGAGAATTAGGGGCTAAACAAAGAGAGAACCACAATGCTTTATAGAGGTCCTGCTGACCTAGGTCTATCACATAGTGAACAACACAAGTGGAGATCAGGCATGAAATGTCAAGACTCACCCAATGCTTTTGGGGTCTGTCCTAGTTAGGGCTACTATTGCTGTGATGAAACACCCTGACCAAAAGCAAGTTGGGAAAGAAAGGGTTCATTTTGCTTACATTTCCATTTCATAGTCCATTACTGAAGGAAGTCAGGGCAGGAACTCAAAAAGATGAGGAACACAGAGGTAGGAATTGATGCAGAGGCCGTGGAAGAGTACTGCTTATTGATTTGTTCCTCATAGCTTGCTCAGTTTGCTTTCTTATAGAACCCTTTATTTTCCTGGCTTCCCCTCCTCATGCTGTGACAAGAAGCTGATGAATGTCTGCTAGGACCAGCATAAATAACCACCCTCCAGTCTTAATTAACTTTTAATTGCTAGCTGATAATAGAAGACAAACTGAACACTTGGAAGCAATAAGAAATCATATTCATCTTTATACATGTGTTCATACAAACTTGCACACGTAACTTTTATCAAAACAAAGCACATGCCATCAAAGATTGCACTGTAATTCACCCTTGGCAGCCACGGGGTACATGCATAAGTAAAAACATGCAATTAGATAATGGGCGTATTTTCAGAAATATGAATTTAGCACTAAAGGACTTAAGGTTTTGTTCAAATGTATACAGACCATAAGAAAAGATTGATAAGAACTAAATAATAACAGAACTCAGATTAACATTGTGTGTTGAGCTACTCTAAATTATCTAAACATTATTGAAGTAAACATGAACCCTATAGCTCAATGGCCACAGAGTAATGAAAAAAACTTTACTAGTTATTCCCTACGATAAGAATATACTCATTGACCTGATTCTTACTCCTGCATCGTAAGCACTGAAGCTCATCTGGCATTTGTCCCTTGGTGCACCAAATCTCAAGAGTGTTTAGGGGTTTGTTGACCATCATCACAGAAATGAAAGGCACCTCTAATTTGTTTTATTCAAGACAGTTTCTTCACTTCATGTTACTAGATTAGATATCATTATACCAAACACTGAAAAGTGAGTTCTATCAGAAACTGGAGCACCAGATTGACACAAGAAAAGACATGGCCAGTGTCTGATGTCTAAAGCAATAGTGATGAATTGGTTTTTAATGAATATTTTATTCATAGATTTCCTGAACTGAGTATACAAAAAGGTGTCCTCAGAATAAAGGTATCATTTCCTAGAAATATGCCATTATTTTATCATTAACAATATAGCCTAGCATCCACATAATCCTTGACTCTTCAAAGCTGTAAAAACCATTCATATCCAACATTACCAACATTACAAATTACACAAAAGCAGTTAACTGGGTGATACACATACTATGAGCATATATATATATATATATATATATATATATATATATATATATATATGCATACAAACATACCAAAAGTTGGTTTACCATTCATCTTTTGTTCTTTGATAAAATAAGCTCTCATTTATTGTTAATGTAAACATTGATGACAAATAAATCCACTTGCATTTATCCTGTAAGTCTTTAGGAACACACAGTCACAGATTTTCAAACGTCTATGACCAATAGCCAAGACCTGCAGAGAGCACAGCGATTCCACTGTGCAGGAATCGTTTACAATTGGAGCTGCTTTGTTCTCAAACACAAAAGTCAAAGAAAGTAAAAGTACAATAGAAGAAGAAATTTTGTGAGCTTTTTATTTTTTTAAGGAAAAAGTTGCTTGGAGATTATATGGCTAAACAGTGGTGGTGCTGGCCTGTAACTCCAGATACCCTGGAGGCTAACTCTGAAGGATCCACAAGTTCAAAGCCTGCATGGGTTGCATAATAGGTTCAAGTCCAGTCTGGGCAGTTTAGTGAGACCCTGTCAAAATAACAAGGAAAGGGGGGAGCTGGGAACATAGCTATTCTGTGTTTGCCTAAAATTTGAAAGGCCCTGGGTTTAATCCTCAGTAATACAAACACACATCACACACACACACACACACACACACACACACACACACACACACACACGATTATTATGCTCAGGAAACTCATAATACATAATAACTGGATGTTTTAAACGGACTGAAAATGTATCTACTACATTCCAAATGGGTCTGCTTGTTCACGGTGGAATATTTGGTGACAGCATCAGAGGTAGTCCAAAAAATAATCAAAACTATTATTTATTATGACATTCAGAGTGAGTGTGCTTATTCAATAGGCAATTATGAATTTAATATTTAAGATTGATTACCCTATCCAAAATCTGCCAAGAATATGTAAAAATCTGAAGATATATTGGGGGGAAATGCATTGCTTAAACATGTAAATTATTTATGCACATACACACTTGTACATATTTAGTAACACAATATGCAATTGGGAAAAATGAAATTATTCCCCTCAATCTGTCATATCTGTTAAGTCATTTCTGAGCAAATGACGGTGTTCTTTTATATGACAATGAAGTCTATAGAGCTGCCAGTTAGCTCAATTGTTCAGAGCATGGTGTTCATGTAGACTTTGTGGTATGTCCTGATATTATGTTACATATTATTTTGACCATTTAAATTATATTTGGATAAGAAGTAGAAATTTTGGACATAAAACAATTAGGTAACATTTTGAAGCTAAAACTTGTGCTTATAGCTAGCTGCTGGAGACACACCTTGGCAGCGAAGAGCATGCATTTTTCTTGCAGTGAAGTCTTGTTTGGTTTCCAGCACCAGGCCACAGGACTTTCAACCATGTCTTCCGTTTCAATGGGATCCAGTGTCCCTGTCCTTCTAGGGCACCTGCACTCATGTGCACACACATGCACATAATTGAAAATAATCTGTTAAAGGTTTTTAAAAGATCATGGGTACGTTTACCCCCAACAACAACTGCCTCCAACATTATTAGATTAGTTCTTAAACTTGCCTGAGGAAAAGCCCCATCAGAAGAGTCTTACACTATAATCTCTAACTTTCCCAGAGAAATTCTATGTAGATAGACAGATAGCAGCAAATTTATCAAAATATAATTTACTCCTTGCGTGCCTGTGTGCGTGCGTGCATGCGTACGTGCGTGCCTGTGTGTGTGTGTGTGTGTGTGTGTGTGTGTGTGTGTGTGTATGTGTGTGTGTGTGTTCACAGCCATCAACTTATGCTTTATGTAACAGTTTTTGTTATAGGTCTTTAAAACGAAGGAAAACATACCTGCAATTTGTAGCAAAGCATTGTCTGTAACACCACAGTAGTTCCTAGCAGACATCTGGGATAAAGAATAGGCAGCACTTATCACACCAGAGCTCTGTCAGGCGTGGTTTGTTTTTGTTTGGTTTTCACTCTAAGACAAACAAATATGGGAGTGAACGACTGAAGAGTCTTGGTTCTGCACTTTCTGTCAAGTGAGAGCTATTGGGTGTCAATTACTTACTTATGCAATCAGATCATCAACCTAGAGCACTGGCTGTACTGTGCCCAAGTTCTCCTGAACCCTTCATTTTTCAATGAACTATGTAGATAATCCAGCCAGTCAACAGAAATCCAAAGCAGTGACAAAACCCTAGGTCAAATGCCTAATAAAGTTGAACAAAGCTTTGCACTTAGCTAGTGCCTTCAAACATCACAATAACGACATCTGAATAAAAATCTTTATGGTAGAGCAGTTCTTGGTCTGCTGGCCCCTGCGGCATGGTGCAGGGTGGACAATATTTGGATTATAGGTAGAGATGCCCAGTTTTGTGAAACTGCCCACCGAATGGTGTGTGCTCGTGACTATGGTGGTTGTTATTGCCATGGACTCACTTGTAGATTCGTTTTCAGCTTTCCACTCTTTAATAAGAGTCTTTCCTCTCACTTTCTCTTTGTGTGCCCCTCGCTCATTTACAAATAAAACAAACTAACCCTTTCTCTGCGAGGGATCTTTCTGAAGATGTGAGGAGAAAAAAAAATGATCGTTGTCCTACTGTGACTACTTCCAGGATCCCCAACACCAAGCACATGGAAACCTGAAGATGCTCAGATAAGTTAGAGAAAACCGAGGCAGTATTTGTATAGAACTGACCCATGTCCCTTACACATACAATACTTTAAATCATTGCTGGGTTACATGTAACACTCAGTATATTGTAAAGGCTATACTGTATTGTTTAGGGGATAATGACATGAAAAAGAAATGTGTCCATATTCGACACAGGTGAAGTTTTTGTGAATATTTCAGTTCAATCATAGGTAAGGAGGAATGCCTGTACTACACTTGTGTCGCATGATTCCAATAAAAGAAAGGTTCCCACAAGTCTCTCTTGTCTTGAATTCATTTCACACTGTACTTCAACCTCCTCCACTGGTTCATTTAACAAGAGGCTGTACATGTTCAGTATTCCCCTTCATAGACAGAACTAGAGATCTGGTTATAAAGCACACAGTGGCTCAGTTCCGGCAACACAGAGGCAACCCTAAAGAGCTTCAAGTTGGACTATGCTGATTTCTAGGCAAGAGAAAGCCGATGCAGAAAGCGGTAAGACCCCAACCAGTGCGGGTAATTTGCTAGCACCACTGGCTTTTTTAAACAGAGTCCACTTTTATTAAGTTGTTCTTGGCTATTAGGGGAGCGGGCTTACATTTAATCTTATCTGCCTCATCGTTTGAGCTGTCCACGAAGAACATCTTGCCTGTGCACAGGGAGACGATAATTCTTTTGTATTCCTTTCTGAAATTCTGGTTCAGTAGTCCATATATAATCGCATTGAGGCAGCTGTTGAAATATGCCATGTAGTAACTAGCCACGAAGAGCCACTCTGGGATTCTGGGGACCATGGTGGCAGGGTCTGAGGCCACAATGAGCCCTATGAAGTTGAGTGGAGCCCAGCAAATGGCAAAGAGCACGAACACGACGAACATGGTGACGAAGTTCCTGAAGTCCTGTGGCTTCAGTTTGGGCTTGTTGTCAGGTTTCACCCTCCGTCTGACCTGAAGAACCAGGATCCAGATGCGTAAGTAGCAGAAGATGACGACAATCATGGGCACGATGAAATGGAAAACCACCACCGCTATCGTGTACACCGAGCTGACAGACTGGGTGAAGGTACAGGAGTAGATCCGGGGATCGTACTGGAGAGTTCCGGTTTGCAGGTTGGGCATGATGGCTACGAGCGTCAGCACCCATATCAGGAACACGTAGCAGAGGGAGTTCTTGTTACTGTAGAATTTGTCGTACTTGAGACTGTGGCAAATGTAGCAGTAGCGGTTAATGGCGATCCCGGTGATGTTGAATATCGAGCCGATGACACTCAACCCCATCAGAAACGCACTGATTTGACAGTGCAGAGATCCCAGATTCCAGCCATTGTTAAATATGGATGTCAGCACCAAGGGATATGGGTAAATAGCCACCACGAGGTCTGCAACAGCTAAGCTCACCACAAACATATTTCCTAAGAGGGAGAGAGGTATAAAACACAGGTTAACACCAGTATTACATGCATTGCATCTTTAAACATATGTTAAAGAAAGGGGCATTGGAAAGATAGCCAGTATAACCTGCCGTGCAAGCTTGAGAACTGTATTTTGGATTCTCAGTACCCATCTAAAAGCCCTGTGGGTTTGGATACCTGCCTATAGTCCCATGCAAGGGAGGTGGAGACATGGGATCCCCAGAGCAAGCTGGCTAGCCAGATTAGTAATAGCGGCAAGCTCCGGGTTCGATTGAGAGAGCCTGCCTCCAAAAAAAAAAAAAAAAAAAAAAAAAATGAAGTTGTAGAAGGACTGAAGAAGACATCAATGTCAACCCCCAGCCTCACACCCATGAACTTACACATGCATACATGCATAGAGACATGCTAATATATATTCTCACACAGCATATATTCTTCCATATTGCTAAAGAAAGGAAGGGGGAAGGAAGGAAGGAGGAAGAGACAGACAGTCCCGGGAGGCAGGGGAGAGACAGGATAAGCTCTTTCCGAAACGTGGGTGACCTGAAACCATGTGGCAGGAATGCCACGTGATAAATGGAATAAATGCCACCAATAAGCTTCAATGTGGCCCTTGTTGAGTCACGTCCACTTTCTGAATGTCTGCATTCCAGACCATTCCATTTTCCAAAGCATGGAATTTCAGACTATGCTCTCTTCTTGTGACCAGTCTCAAGATCATAACACATTCATGCCGTCTTCTGTTTGGGGGGGTCTCACCTGCGAAGTCTGACATCACCTTACTTCTCAAGTCTGCCATGAATTCCTTCAATTCCAGATCTCTGATCTCTCTGGTTCTTCCAAAGCTAAAAAGGGGCTTCTAGCTTCTGGTGTTGGGGGGCTATATATCTTTGTCTTAAGAGAAAAGGGCTCCACCATCAGTGTCTGGATTTGAAGATGGTGTCATCTCGGACTAGGTATGGAACTGGATCAAGACATTTCACTTTGGCAATGTTCCATTCCTTCTCCTATGATACAGAGATGTTGGAAAGTATCTCCTTGCTAGTGTCAAGTGAGCCTCAGATGAGGCAATGTATGCCAAGCACTGTGCACTGTCTGCAACTCATATGAAAATTGGTAATGCTCTGCAACTCCCTCCCTCAAACCAAAAGGAAAGGAAGGCATTCTCCTGTATTTATGAATAACCAAATTAGAATATTAAGCCCCACATATTCTGAATCAGTGGTAATCTTCTACTAATTTGATAATGGAACACATTTTCAGTGTATAGAAAAAGAACTTATCTAGCTAAATTGTATGAGATGTTCTACCAATATAATCTTTTATTTTTTTGTGGCTTTAAAAAAAAAGCTTGATTTCTTAATATCCCTTCTCTTTTGATTTGCTCCTCAATCCAGTTTTGACAATTTTATTTTTTTTTCAAGTCCATCCTAAATGGATATGCCCACATCCTTTTCTTATTTGCCCAACCAGAGATAAGCAGTTTCCCCTTTGAAGATGCCAAAATTATTTTATTTATATCCCATCTAATTTGGAATAGGTTATTATATATTCCATTTAATAAGAGTTTAGCAAATGCATATAAAGAGTTCTGGGGGACTGAGTAAGAACAGACAGGAAAACAAAACTGTAACAGAATCAAGAGCAAGTTTGCTATCTATCTATAGAGAGGAGTAGAATGCTAACCTATGTGGAATGACACAGAGTTGAAAATGGAGTACATGACCTCAGGGGCTAGGAAAATGTCCCAGATGGTAAAAATGTTTGACACACAAGCAGAAGGACTTAACTTTGGATCCCCAGCGTGCCTGTTTGTGGAGGTAAAAGGTTGGTGTTGAGCATCTTCTTCCAATGTTTTCCTCCTTAGTTTTTGAAACAAGATTTCTCCTGATCCTGGAGCTCATCTATTGTCACAACTGTAATCACAGTGATGGGAAGACAGAGGTAGGTGGGTCCCAGAGCTCATTGAGCACTCATTTTAGACAATAGATGAGCTCCAGGATCAGAAGAAACCTTGTTTCAAAAACTAAGGTGGAAAACATTGGAAGAAGATGCTCAACATCAACCTTTTACCTCCACAATCATGCACACATGTGTGCTCCCCAAATATATGCACACACCAACATACATGTACTATGCCTACCTCCAACCCCTCAGAAGAATATATGGCCTTAAAATGTCAATAATTATGACCAAATGATATAGTACTATTACCTAGTTGTGTTCTTAAATGGAAGGAAAGAAGGAAGGAAGGAGGGAAGGAAGGAAGGAAGGAAGGGACGGAGGGAGGGAGGGAGGGAGGGAGGAAGGAAGGAAGCAAAGAAGAGAGAGAGAGAGAGAGAGAGAGAGAGAGAGAGAGAGACAGAGACAGAGAGAGAGACAGAGAGAGAGAAAACTCTTCCTCCCCAAATCCCCTAAACATAACACATGTGAACATTACAGCAGGAGAGGACAAAGCCACCTGATAAACACATCTACATAGACTCTCTGGCTTAATTGTTCCCCAAACATTTGTAAAATGAGATTAATCCAAAGAAAATTAAACCAATGATTTAATTAATGTAGTTAATTGAATACTAATAAAGCACAATTGTTGTAAAAGACATGAAGGATCAAAGCCACACACACACACACACACACATACACACACACAGAAACGCAACTATGATGTTGTCTGTGGTTTGAATTTTAAGCTCTTTAAAAATAAGTCTACACTAAGCCATTTTACCACATACCATTCTGGGTTTAAATGTACTGTTTGGATGTTACGTCAGTGTGTAGCTGGGTTTCGTACATTAAACATCATTTCAAACCACTAAATGTTTCGAGCGAAAATGGGCTGACTCCAGAATTTAACTATTTCCCTTGTCATCTAAAATTATCGGTGGGGAAAAATAATTTACCATGGAACCTTTAGTTTGGACTCATCACCAGCGTTTTCAAGAACTGACTTATAAAGAACCTGGGGAGATGGGGCAGAGGGCGCTGTGACTTCTGCACAGGCATGAAGACTCGAGTTAATTCACTCCTGTAAAATGCCAGGCATGGCTACACACACCCACAGTCCTGATGCTGGAGCGGTGGAGATACAGAATCCCCGAATTATTAGCGAACCATTCTAGGCAAGTCGGTGAGCTCTGGGTTCACTGGGAGATTGTGACCCAAAAACAAAGATGGAGAGTAACTGATACAGATCTCCAATGTCTACGTGTGGCCTATACACACACATGCACAGGCATGTACTGTACATTTATACATACATGTACACGCATGCATGCGTATGCATACACAAATGTAACATACAGAAACATAGATATGCATGCACCACAAACAGGCACACAAAGAATTTACTTTTATAACAATTTTTTTTCTGAAAACTTTCAGCACATTTCTTACGTCATAACTGCTTTTCATCTTCTTTCCTTAATTGCAGTTCAAGAAACTTTCATTACAAAGCTTACTTTGTGTCAAATATCTGGAGGTAACACTGTAATTTACATGCTCAAAACCAGGAAAAGTCCCTGGGGATGCTGTTTGAGACACAAATACGAGGAATCCACACACTCTGGGAGCAGAGTCTAGAAACGGAGGAAAACCAGGTTTACAAAGAAGCATGCAAATATCTGCCTTTGGAGAGGGCAAAATCTGTCTAGTTGAATCCAATACCCCTCCTTCCCCAACCTTGATGAGCTGTCTCTGGTCTTCTCCCTGGGAGTACAGGCATATGGGATACTTTGTTCTGACTTGAATAAAAGTGAATCCTAGACAATGAATGGTATTCCCTTATAGGATGCTGTGTCCACTGTGATGGGATTTCTCAAGGCATGCTTCTAACTAAGGAATTCATTGTACAGTAATAGGGACATGCTCTTGGAATTCACTGGGCTTGTTATGTTTCCCACCTTAGAACATTGGTTTTGAAGATTCATTTAAAAATTGATTGGGTCACCCTGTGGATGGGATACCCCAGGGTGGGATATGAGTGTCAAATCTATGATTAGTCAATAGTATTATTAACCTCATCCCAAAGATTCACTGGTCCATGGTGGATGTTTTAGTTTTTACTCTCACAATCACACCAGTGACTCCTTACCAAACTATTTGCTTCCTGCCTCCCTCTGCCCTTACAACTTTAGGCTCCTTTGGACTTCCAGGCATGTCCACCCTGCCATCTTGCAGTCCGTGGGCCACATGTGTCTTGAGATATCAGTCTGGCCCAACACCTGTATAGACCAGAACATCGTGCCGCAACGTCAGAGGCCTGGACAGCCTTGAGAGCCTAAAAGCTTAGTTCCAAAGAAGAAACTCTTTCACCAGCTCGGGAGCCCGTGGTTTCATTAAACTGAATGTTGAGGGTGACATTGATATACTTTGAGCTCCTTATTTCAGTGAATCAATGGGAGGGGGCTATTCCTGTAATCTGTCTTGATTATCGATAAGGAAGACAGATTATCATTACACACAAGACCCATAAAGTACATATCTCAAGGGCAAGAAATGCTAGGAAGTTGCAGTACTCCCATATTTCATGAATAAAGCCAATGGGGATATAAAATAGAACAAATCAGGCAGGTATGTCAATGTCCTAGAGATTTAGAAATGAGTATATGAGCTACCTGAACAGGCAAGGAACCATGATGTGTGGAGGGAAAAGAAAGTGGGGAAAGAAAAGTATTTAAAAATATTCATAATGGTCATGTGACCAGCTGCAGAGATGAACACTAAAGTGATTACGAATATTTCTTGTTCACCATGGTTCGGTTGTGACCCTATTAACCATTGGTTTCTCTTTCCCTTAGCTATTGGCCTGCCGTCCAATGTGTGGCAGCAGTGAAGCCTGTATTTCAGTAATTAAACTGTAGGGTATGAATGGGGACTGTGATTCGATTAGAAATTAATAAAAGTCATGTAAAGATGGATAAAGATATGGCTGTCTTAGGAAAAGAGGGTTGGTAGGTTCCAATTTTCTGAAGAGCGGTCCCATTTTGTCATACAGAGGC